CGACATGAGGACATGCCGACATGAGGACATGCCGACATGAGGACATGAGAATATACCAACATACCGACATGAGGACATACCAACATACCGACACGAGAACATACCAACATGAGAATATACCAACATACCGACACGACAACATACCAACATCACAACATGAAAACATGGGCCAATGAGAGTGTCGAATGTTAATGAGAGTATCGATGAGTGCCCATGAGAGTACTACTATAGATAAAATCCTAACGATACCCATCCCTACTGCCCCCCTGTGGTCTGTCCTCTGATGACCTCTGACCTTCCCGTTGCTACTCAGGTGCGACTCAGATGCTGCTGTTGGCTCGGCGGACCGACCTGCGCCGCATCTCTCTGGACACGCCGGACTTCACAGACATCGTCCTGCAGGTGGAGGACATCCGGCACGCCATCGCTGTGGACTACGACCCGGTGGACGGGTACGTCTACTGGACTGACGACGACGTGAAGGCCATCCGCCGGTCGCTGCTGGACGGCAGCGACGCCCAGTTCGTAGTCACGTCTCAGGTCAACCACCCCGACGGCATCGCCGTGGACTGGATCGCCCGGAACCTGTACTGGACCGACACTGGGACGGACCGCATCGAGGTGACCCGGCTCAATGGGACCATGCGTAAGATCTTGATCTCCGAAGACCTGGACGAGCCCAGAGCCATCGTACTGGACCCTGTGGCCGGGTGAGTCCATCGATCAATGAGTCCCGATCAGATTTCTATTAGTAACAATATTAACAATAATCCTAATGATAATAATAATGTTAATTAGCTCCTTCCTGTCTGTGTTTCTATTAGTAATAATAATAATGATAATAACCCTAATGATAATAATCATTTTATTACACTACTTCCTGTCTGTGTCTCTGTTAGTAATAACATTAATAATCATAATGATAATGTTAAAATGGCTGTGTCTCCAGCTACATGTACTGGACCGACTGGGGCGAGGTCCCAAAGATCGAGCGAGCCGACCTGGACGGGATGGAGCGTCTGGTGATGGTCAACACTTCTCTGGGATGGCCCAACGGACTCGCCCTCGACTATGAGGAACGCAAACTGTACTGGGGGGACGCCAAGACGGACAAGATCGAGGTCTGTGAGGGGGAGACCTGGGAGTTGTAGTTCTAGATTAAGTGTGGGTTCACCTGGGAGTTGTAGTTCTATAACCAGAGTCAGTTTACCTGGGAGTTGTAGTTTTATAACTAGTGTGAGTTTACCTGGGAGTTGTAGTTTTATAACTAGTGTGAGTTCACCTCGAGTTGTAGTTTTATAACTAGTGTGAGTTCACCTCGAGTTGTAGTTCTATAATCCGTGTGAGTTCACCTCGAGTTGTAGTTCTATAATCCGTGTGAGTTCACCTGGAGTTGTAGTTC